GCGCATCGGGTGCCTGCGCCGTAGGCAGGGATTGAACCCAGAGCTCCAGAGGCGCTGACCCGCTAGGCCGTGCTGCCCAGGGCCGGGGGGGGACGGGGACTCCTTACTGAAATCCTGAGTTCTACACAAGCTGATGGGATGCCAAGGAAGCACAGGCCCAGTCCCCCAGCCCAGCCCAGCCCCCACCCAGCCCCCCTAGCCCAGCCCAGCCCCCCACCAAGCACCCAAGCCCTTGGCCCAGCCTTCATCCAGCCCTTAGCCCAGCACCCCAACCACCACTCCCCAGACAAAATCCCAGCCAGGCCCCTGTCCAGCCCCTGTCCCCTCTGACAGCAGCCCAGCCCCCCGGCCCAGGCCCCCAACCCGGGCAGGCCCCTGAGTCTGTCCAGCCCTCCTGGGCCGTAGCCGTGAGTCAGCGCGAGACAGAAACGCTGAACCGTCCTGTTACTCAGCCCGAGTTGGGCGAGCCGCCTGTGGCAGCCTGCAGCCGTCTCACGCACTCTGACTGCGCCGGGCTGTCGCTCGAACGCCGCTGACTAGTACCTACGGCACGTCACCACCCTCCCTCCTCTGGGCACGGCCTCCTGCTCCGCTCCCGTTTCCCCGGGCCATGGCTGCCGGCACCTGGCAGCCCAGAGATGCTGCGTCTGCCCCATGCCTGGGCTAAATGGCCAGCTAAAGCCATTGCTGCTCAGGGGGATGGGGGTGAACACCCTTGAGGGGCACAACCAGGGTAGGGTGACCAGATGTCCCAATTCTATAGCGACAGTTCTGATTTGGGGGGCTTTTTCTTATATAGGTACCTATTACCCCCCCACCCCCTGTCCCAATTTTTCACACTTGCTATCTGGTCATCCTACAACCAGGGGCCTGAAGAGAGGCAGGAGGGCAAGAAGATACTGCAACAACCACCTGCCCCAAGAGCTCAGGCCCCTACTGCCCACTGGACCAAGGAGAATCACCACTCAGAAAGGGCAGTATAGAGGCTATGGAACACGGTTCCGATTCCATCTAGCAGAGGGTAGCAGAGACACAGCCACACCAGCCAGGAGGGCACAATCCATGGAATACATAGGAGGCCGCCCTGCTTGTACAGGGGACGCTAGGGAAGGCTGGCCGGCAGCGGCCTGGGTTGGGCTGGGGGGAAGGGCAGGGGCATTTCAAACCAGACCAAAGCCAGGAGAGGCGCCAGTGGGAGCCGCCGTGCCCTGGACGCCAGGGATGGGCTGCCTGGCCCCAAACAGCCTTTTAGATCTCTGGGCATAGAGCCGCAGTAACTCCAATGGAGCGCCACCCGTTGACACCAGCTGCAGGGAGCGTGACGCAGCCAGACCCGCTCTGCACTGGGCACCGTGCAGGCCAGGCAGGGTCGGCCTACAAGGGTCACTTCCTTCCCTGTGCCCAGCGCAGTGGGGTGGGGGTGGCAGCGCACAGCTCGGGTTCCTGGCACCTTCCTTTGCAGGACAGATCCCGCTTGGGATTTCACCCTCACAGCCGGGGGTGGGGATCTGCTTCTTAAGCCCCTTTGCCAACGTCCTTGTAGGAAATGCCCCCCCACCCCCAGCTCAGAGTGGGCACCGTGGCGTGGGGGAGCCTGCTGGGGGAGGGTCTGCACAGTGGGTCGTTGCATAGATGTAGCAGCACCGATGCACAGGCCTAGGGTCGAAGGCTGGGCTAGGGACGAGGCATTGGGCTGACCCCCCTCGGCCTTGGCTTCAAGCCCCTGCTCTGCGGATGCTGCTTGTGGACAAGGCCTTCTGGGCCAGGTCGATACAGGAGTCTAGGGCAGAAGCACCCAGGGGAGTTAGGCACATAGACGCTTTTGCAACACCTTTAAGAAGCTGGCCCTAAATTTCTCCTGTGGGGGATGATGGGAGTCGTCCGCCCCAGGGTGCGGTGGTGTTAAGAACCTGGGGGCAGGATTGGGCCCTTCGCAGCCGGAGCGCCAACAAACTCCAACGGTGCCATCTCTGGCCAAGCTCCAGCCCCACTCACCCCCTGCCCGTCAGCTACAAGCCTTAGGCAACATGACCAGGAATCGGCCACCTCCGGCGGCTGCTGGGAATCCCCGGCTGCTCCTGGCACTGTGTGGGGGAGGAGGGGGCGATCCCGGCCCTGTGTGGGTGTTGCTCCCGCTCTGCGGGTGGTTCCCGGTGCAGCCAGGGCCCTACCAGGGTGTCGCTGCCTGAGTCACCTCGACCGACAAAACAGCGGGGTCAGCAAAACCTGCCTCAACCCGCCCAGCAGAACAAGCCGCCAAGCCCGAAGGGAGAGGGAGGGGGCCGCGTGGGCCATGACCCTGAGTGGGGAGGGCGAGAGGGAGGAGCCCCCCCAAGATTGGGTTGGAGGGAACCTCTGGAAATTGGAAAAACAACAAGGAGTCTGGTGGCACCTTCAAGACTAACAGATTTATTTGGGCATAAGCTTTCGTGAGTTTTCTGGAATTTGGGTGCCTATAGAAGCAAGAAATGGATCTCACACATACCCCACTATCCCAGCCCTGAGCTCCCCCCACCCCCAGCTCTGCCAGTGCCCCTCAATCCCCGACCCCTTGCTATCCCAGTCCTGCCCCCCCAGCTCTTCCAGTGCCCCTCAAACCCTGACCCCTTGCTATCCCAGTCCTGCCCCCCCAGCTCTTCCAGTGCCCCTCAAACCCTGACCCCTTGCTATCCCAGTCCTGCCCCCCCAGCTCTGCCAGTGCCCCTCAGTCCTGACCCGCAGCCTCCTAGACCTACCCTGTGACCTGTCTTGCCAAACTTTTTCCATCCCAAAGTGTTATCCCCCTGTGACCTGAGCGATATTTGCACCCAGTTCTGGGGAGACAAGGAGACAAGGGCATCCCCCACAGGGCCCTGAGTCTCTGCCTCCCCTGGCCATACCCGGGAGAAGAAGCCGCTGAAATCTGGTGAACAGGTTCCCTGCCAGACAATCCTCCTCAGCCACAAAGAGGCTTTTCTTGGCTGGCAAAGCCGGCGCACCCGGTGCTGAGAGGTGCTAAGAGAGTTGGGCCAGGAGCCAGGAGCTGGAGCGTTGGGCCGGGGGAGTCGAGGGAAGTCACAAGGAGCTGGCACTGACCCACGCCGCGGGGAGTGAAGGCGCAAGAGAGCGATGGAGGGAGCTGGGGGCATGGGGAACAGGGGGCTGTGGGTCAGGATTGAGGGACAGCAGCAGAGCTGGGGGCAGGGTCTGCTCTGGGGGCTGGGTCAGCTCTGGACCGGCCCAACCCGTCCCGGGGGGCGCATGGCAGGTGTCAGTGCAGAGAAGGAAGGAGGCCAATTCCCAGAGTACCTCCCGGCTCCAGCCCTGCTCCCTCGCACCTCAATCCACTCTGCCCCCCAGCCCCTCTCTAACCTGCCCCCCACCCTGATCCGTCCTGCCCCCAATGCTCTTCTGCCCAACCCCCTCCACCTGCCTCCCCCAACCCCATCTGCCCTGCTCCTCTCCACCCACCCCCAACCCTGATCCACCCTGACCCCGCAGCCTCATTCCACCCAATCCCCCAACCCGAATGCACCCTGACCCCCCCTGCCCTGTCCATCCAGCCTGTCCACCCAGCCCTCCCAGCCCCAATCCACCCAGCCCGCTCAGCCCCAATCCACCTGGCCCGCCAGCCCCTATCCACCCAGCCCTCCCTGCCCTGAGCTGCCTGGCCCTGAGCCACCCAGCCCTGATCCATCCATCCCTCCCTCCCCACTCCCAATTTGCCCACCCCCACTTGCCCCCTAGTCCCGATCCCCCATGTGCCCTAGAGGAGGACGAGAAGGAAAACGACACCCCATCCCTTCGCAGAGCAGACACTTGCCTGTGATCACAACAGCCTGGCCCCTCCGGGCCCCCAGCGGGGGTGCTGTATGCTGGGGGCGGCGAGCAGCTCTGGGGCAGGGCTGGAATGGCTGAAGGGTCGTGTCCCCTCGTGTGGGGGCAGCGCTGCCCTGGGCACGAGGAGGGGGGAGCCGGCCTGGCAAAGGAGGGAGAAGTGGGGCCGGGGGAGCCAGTCTCTGCCAGGAATTGCCCCCTGTGATGAACGTGGGATTTTTGTCCTGTTTATGAGCACCATGTAGGCACCACTAGCGATCGCTACCTACTGGGTGGAAAGGTTAATTCTCTCTGGTGTGGGACCCTGTCTGGGCTGGAATCGCCCTGTCAAAGGGAAGCCCCCGGAGCCCCAGGGACGGTCCGTTCAGACCCCAGGCAGGGGAAACAGAGGCAGCTGGGTACTGACCACAGCCTGCTTGGGCAGCCAGACACGGGGCAGGTGCAACCCGTGACCAGAGGGAGCTTCTGGCTGTACTGGGACCCGCTGGGCCAGGAGCTGCCCATTCCTGCTGTAATTCCTCACTGACGTGGCATCACTGACTACCCAGGGGAAGCCTTCAGGGAGACTCGGTGGGAAACGGGGCTTGCTGGCACCCTGTGGCCCTGGCTGGGAGCTGCTGAGGCTCGGGGTGTGTCCACACTGCACTGTAACCGGTGGCCTCTGGGCTCATGGCACTGGTGTTCCCAAGCCCGTGCTCCAGCATCCACACTTACAGCTGTGGGACCCGGGGCTCCCCGCCGTGCTGGCGTCTCCACACTGCAGCACACAGCCCTTCTGACTTGGGGCTGCGGCCACATGGGGCTTGGACCTGCGTCTCAGCGGGACTCGGGCTCTGACCCCCCCCCCCGCAGCAGTGTCCGTGGGCCCAAGTCCAGAGGGATTCCTGGCCCAAGTCAGCCTGATTTGTGTGTGGGCAGAAGGGGGAAGGGGTTAAGCTCAATCCTGAGTCTGAGCCCGGGTTTACAGCGCAGTGTAGACAGACCTTTAAGGAGACTGGCTTTAGGCAGCGCCTGGGAATTCTGGACACCCCCTGGTGGGCCTGGTAGCAGCCGCGCTGAGCAGATCTCAGCCAGGAATTACCTATAGGGCACCTGGGGAGAACCGCGCCAGTCTGCGGGGGCCCCCTGCCTGGCACGCTCTTGGGATGTTGCTTCACCAGGACACGGCTGAGGGTTCGGCTGGTTTATTGGCACATTCAGATCACTGGCACATCAGGATCAAGGCCAGCATTGGGCACCACGCCTGGCCAAGGGGAGGGGGCTGGGACAGGGCAAAGGACGCCATGTTGGGTGGCGCTGGAGGGCGGGGATTGGCCGGGGCCTGGTGGGTGTCACTGGAGGGCGGGGATTGGCCTGGGGCCTGGTGGGTGTCACTGGAGGGTGGGGATTGGCCAGGGCCTGGCTGGTATCACTGGAGGGCAGGGATTGGCCTGGGGCCTAGCGGGGACATTGGAGGCAGGGATTTGCTGGGGCCTGGTGGGTGTCACTGGAGGGTGGGGATTGGCCCAGAGCCAGGTGGGTATCACTGGAGGGCAGGGATTGGCCAGGGCCTGGCAGGTGGCACTGGAGGGTGGGGATTGGCCCAGAGCCAGGCGGGTGTCACTGGAGATTGGGGATTGGCCCAGAGCCAGGCGGGTGGCACTGGAGGGCGGGAATTGGCCGGGACCAGGTGCATGTCACTGGAGGGCGGGAATTGGCCCAGAGCCAGGCAAGTGTCACTGGAAGTTGGGGATTGGCTGGGGCCTGGCAGTTGGCACTGGAGGGCGGGAATTGGCTGGGACCAGGTGCATGTCATTGGAGGGCGGGGATTGGCCGGGACCAGGTGCGTGTCACTGGAGGGCAGGAATTGGCCGGGACTAGGTGCGTGTCACTGGAGGGCGGGGATGGGCCGGGACCAGGTGCACGTCACTGGAGGGCGGGAATTGGCCGGGACCAGGTGCATGTCACTGGAGGGCGGGGAGCCATCAGAGCAAGGGCAGGGGGTGAGGTGGGGGAGCTGTCAGGACCAGGCCGTGCGTCCAGGCAGGTGTGGTGCCCGCTCAGCCGCTCGCCACATTGGAGCTCTCCGGGGACGGCCTCTTGGAGACAGCACAGATGTGGAAAATGCCTGGGGAAGAGAGCGAGAGGGTCAGGGCAGGGGACAGGGAGGGGTGGGTGGCGAGGTAGAAGAGGCCAAACAGGGCAGGCAGGGATGGGGTGGGCGGGCGGGGATGTGGTAGGTGACATGATCCCCCAGTCTTCTCCCTCTGGAGCATGGCATCTCCCTGCTCCTTCCTTCCCTCACCCCACACACTCCCTGTTCCATGGGGCCCTGTCCCCAGCTCCTCCCTCCCCTCACCCCACACCTCCTGCCCCATGGGGATCTGGCCCCTGCTCCTCTCTCCTCTCTCCCCT